AGTGATGTTAAGCTGTAGGGCACAAGGGTAGCTTAAATGAGTTAGAAGCTGTCAGAAGTAAGAGGATCTGTGAGAGTATTAATTGCACTATTGTTGATACAGATTTCTGTCATGGAGAAACGACTTAATTAAACACATGGTGTCTAGGATATCAGTAATAAGGAAAACCTCCCCCAGATTCTTTCCATAGCGCCCCAAGATCTGAAGCAGTAGTAGCTCTTGACACTTTCCCAAGAATTTGTGATGCTTTTGACAACATTAATTGAGAAAGCATTGGGAGTCTGTCTGCATTGTAATCAAAAGAAAATTACAGAGATTTCACAAGATGCCAGGCAAGTACTTACAGAGAAGATAGACAGGTTTGAGGAGTCTGTTTCCTTTTTTTTTTCCTTTTTCAACAGGTAGGCTGAATAGAAAGTTCAGCAAGATTGCACAGGTGGTACTCTATCAGACTAGTAATGAAACATAGCACATCACAGGGGTTTTTGTGTGTGTGTGTGTGTGTGTGTGTGTGTGTGTGTTGGCAATGGAAAATGACTCAGAAAACTGACCTTCAGAAAGAATTCTTGAGAGTACTCAGCTGGAAACAAGGAAATACATAGGTAGACAGACAGATGTGTACATTTTATTCTGTATGAAACTATATAGAATGTAAAGAAGACATGTAGAAAGAAAGATCTAAGCATAAATTGAAGCCATTCCTGCAGTAATCTTACAGATGACTATGGAAGGTCAGAAGTCTTAACAGGCACTGAATGTGTGTAGCATTAGGCACCTTAGGAACTTTAAGAGAGATTTCATAGAAAGAAAGCATGTACGATTTTATGTTTTATATAATGTCCTCAGCAAACTTGGAATGGAAGAAGTGAGATACATAATCAACTCTGGCTTTCTTAAACATTTGCAGAATGTGCGAATGGATTTGGATGCTTTCAGTTTTGACCATTATAGGAATGTCGAAAAATGCATGATTTTTTTGAGGGGTGGTGGTGGTAAAATTCTTGTCCACATTCTAATAGAACTAAAGTTCCTTGCCTTTTTCTTTTCTCTTCTTCCTCTCCCTTACCCCCACTAGAAAGAAATATTCTTTTCAGGTTCTTTGAAAAACAGATGTCTTACCTATCTCCTTGTTTGCATTTGTGGTTAAATTCAATTTACATTCAAGAATACTTGTTTTTAGAAGTTATAGCCTAAGGACAGTAGAGGTTTAAATCCTTTTTTTTTTAAAAAAAAAAGCATAAGCCTTCAGGAAATAAGTGTCAAAGAAAAAAAATTAAACCTGAAAAGTGTCAAATCCGGTTGTTTCCAGAAGTCCTGAGTTCATAGGGAGTGAATGCTTGTCACAGTTTGTAAATTCCTCCAGGCAGGGACCTGTCTTTTTCTTTGTTTGGAAAAATGGAGAGAACACCAATGCAGATACAGGGTTTTTTTTTTAAAGAAAAAGTTCTGAGTTGTGTTGCTCCACCAGTTAATAATTCTTTTAATATCGCAATAGCTAGAGGCAGGTTAATACTCTGATGTGCAGGTGGACTTGCTAATTCTACCTTTTGGGATGGTAAATTAAAATGCCTTTTTTTTTTTTTTTAGCTGTTTCTTTTGATGACTGGCTGCTTGTTTCCTTTTCTTCTCTGTAGCTTTCCGGGAAATCGTTATTTACAATTCTCATACATTTTTTATAAGCTATGATGGATCTAATGAGACTTCCTTTCCTGAAAATCAGATGGTATTCTTAATTTCATGCAGGAAATACCATGGTTAATCTTGCTTCCCACGCTGAATAATGATAATTCAGGGAGAGAAACCGTTCCGTTTCATGAATTCCTTTTCAAGTTTTCCAAGCCTCTGTGCAAAAAACAAAGCTGTAGGATTCCTAGTTGAATACAAGTAGTCCTCACCTTACGACCACAGTTGAGCCCAAAATTTATGTCATTAAGTGAGACATTTTTGTTAAGTGAGTTTAGTGCCATTTAACAACCTTTCTTGCCATAGTTGTGTTAGTAACATGGTTGCTAAGTGAATCTGGCTTCCCTATTTGACTTTGCTTGTGAGAAAGTCACAAATAGTGATCATGTGACTCCACATCACTGCAATCATCATAACTATGAATCAGTTGCAATGGGGGTGCCTTCAACAGTCATAAGTCACTTATTTCAGTGCCATTGTAACTTTGAACGGTCTATTGTAAGTCAAGGACTGCCTGCACAAGCTTCCCATGAGTTTATCTGTTTTAAAATATTTTATCATATCTTTTAAAAATCAGGATTGCTGGATCAATTGCTCCGCAGGCATATCAAACCAGAAACACAACTTAATGGCTTTTTCCTCCCCTTTCATCTTTAAAAACCACACATTCAGATCTTGGTTACCTGGATATAAAGTTAACCTGTTTTATTTCTTGTTAAATCGATGTGTTGTAATGTTCGAGGTTTTGGACCAAGAGCGGGTTCAAATTGCAATCTATCTTGAGAGGATTGATGTTATCGGGATAAAATGAAGAGAGAGATCCCATGTAAGCCTCCTAGATGGAAAGACAGGATTAACAATCTAACAAATGTTGCTATCACTCACGGCAGACAGTATGTTGCTTAATACTTTTTCTCGGGCATCTTCCTGTTTTCCACTTGATATCTAGTGAAATAATCATTTTGGGATTTAGCTTCTGAACCTTTTAAAAAAACCATCGAGAGTGGCAAATTCTTTTTCTAATTTTTTTTCTAGTTAATTGTTCATTTTCATGGCTTTTACTCTACGTATTATGCTATTTATTATTTTATAATCATAATTGTGTAAACCATAAACATGTTAGTATATCAAATTATAAAATAAGTAAATATATATGTAAATACTGTGTAATAGATTAACATAGCAATGTTTTATGGAATGTGTCACAACAGAATCGGTATGTTCCAGGCATAGTAACAGAGAAGCTGCATCTAATTGCAGTACATTAAATTGAGCTGATACTCTAGAGCTCTACCACAATTATTTAATTCATTGGTTAGAGTTTTGAAGTGTTTGTGTTATTAAAGATATGTTACTTTTTATATTTCCATATTTTTTTCCTGTGACTCATTTAAAAGTTAAAGTGAATAGCTATAGACATCAAACATAATAATTATTCTCAGTGAATAACACACATACACACACTCACACACACACACACACAGAATTACATTGCCAATCCAAAATGTTTAATAAAATAGATTAAATCAGTTACACAAGATGGCATTTTGGAGGGATTTGGTACAACCCTTATTTCTAGATAAGCATTTAATTTAAATTTTAAAATCTAATCCTAGAAATCTAATCCTGATAATTTTAAAAACGAGTGACCATATTTTTCTTTGAGGTTGTTATTGTGAATTGTCTATCAAACCTGTCAGGTTTTTATTAGAGATGTTTTAGAGAGCTTCTGGAGGCTACAGCACATCTTAACAGGTCTTGTTTCAGGACATAAGTCAACTAGAAATAGATTCCAAATCTCCATCACTGTTCAGAAATGCAAATGTTTGTATTCTGACTAGCACTGGGAATCATCAAATTATTTTGTCCTCCTCCTCTTGAGGAAATTAGATTAACTTTGAAGACATAGTAAGGGAGAAACCTGCACAAGTCAAGAGGTTCTTTTCCAGATAACTGATGTTTTTTTCGAGAAATTGTTAAGGGATGTCCATGTAAGAAAACCTAAGGGAGGAAATGATGTCACAATACAAATGCTACTTTTATAGTTTCAAACAGATTCTATGAGAATTGCCATTCTCTGGAGCCTTGAAATTTTCATGTTCCTTTTCAAGATGTACTTATTCCCTGGTTGTTAGGCATGTCATTATTATTTTTATAAATGTCATTTATAGCTTATCATAACTGAAAAACACTATAGTAGATGAATAAATGTAATATAACAACAACATCTGGGATTCTTGGGAAGAACTCAGTGTGTATGAAGGCCAATCAATCCCAGCTAGAAAACTCGCAGTTGTGATTACATATTTTTATGTATTTAATAATAGTTCTCATCATCATCATCATGTACTCTAAACATCTGGCTGACTGTGTGACCACCCATGACTCCTTTTTTCTTAAGTGTGGGCAGGTATTAGCATCATTTACAAAGATCCAAAGTAGCTTGAATTGTATTGAAAATAACTTGGAACTGTTACCCTGCTTATTTCTGTTAATGTTAACAAATTGACATAATTGGACAAATTGAGAAAATGAACAAATCTAGAAGCTAACAGAAAAGTTACTAGTTTTCTCAGATGGCTAGGCAGTGTAGTTGGCTTCAATTAGTTCTTGCTTTATTAGAAAGGGATGTTTAAGATCTGAGATGTCGGAAATATTGAAATAAGCATGCAACGTTCCAGTCTCCCAATTCCTCCCCACCCCAATTTGGATTTAATCAGGTGTGCTAGAAATCTCTGAAGCAAGAATGTCTGCTGGGCAGCAAGATGTTACACTAATTATCTTTCTTCAAGTGACAAGAGTGAGTGACATCAACTAGGGTGCTTTCTTTTTTTGGAGTTTTTTGTTGTTGTTTTAAACAACCTAGTTATTTATAACCTGTTCCTTTGTTGTAGGATTTCCCTGTTTATTTTGCTTTTTTCCAATGTGAATTGGAAACATTGATTTTATCTCTTCAATCAATATAATTTTACGATCTTTTATGAAGTGTATCTGTTATGAGTAGACAATTTGGTACTACTGCCTCCCAGGCTTTAGAAATATATTTATCAATTTGTATTCAAGAGATAAGAGATATGTGCAGACACAGCCATGTATTGCATCTAAGTATGTGTTCATCTTTATTAATATTCTTAATTCTTACTATATATTTTCATCTGATTACCTGACAGTTCTCTCTGAAGGAGAAGGAGAATGTTTCACAACTGTTCTTATGTATTCTTCCTCCATATAACATTTTCTTTATAGAACATATCAAACCATAAAAATAGTATATAAAATTTAAAAGGCAAGGAGTAACTTTACTTTTCCCTTTACAGTGCCTACCACAGCAGAGACAATAACTCCATCCACAGAGCTATTCAAAACAACTGTATCTACCACAAGCACTACCCCACACAAAGTTCCTGTTAGCACAACTATGGCTGCGGGAACCAAAGAAGATAGTAAAGGTCCCAAGTCACCACCAGCAGTTTCTACAACCAAAATTCCTCCTGTTACAAGTTTTTTCCCTCTGCCGGAGAGATTCTGCGAACCAGATGTGGCCCGGGGGATTAGCTGGCCTCAGACTCAAAGGGGAATAATGGTGGAACGTCCTTGTCCCAAAGGAACCCGTGGTAAGATTTTAAAAGCAAATAAGATGTTTGACAAAAACTGCTTGAACTCTTTTTTCCCCCTTTGCTGATTACTCTTAAGCTATATTTCATTTGTTTTTTTCTTTCTTAGGAGAATATGACATCTTTAGGTTTTAAGCTGCAGAGGGCCTTGAAGCCTAGGAGTATAATTATAGTCCTTTTTCTACTGTTTCAGATTTTATTTATTTATATTCCACCGATAAAATTGTTTTATAGCAAATATACCTAATACTCCTTCCTCCTCCAATTTTCCCAATAACAACAACTTTGTGAGTGCATTTAGCAGAAATACAGTCAGTTTCAAAACTTTCTTATATCTTTCCCATGAACATTTTGATTAATTCCAGGAAAAAGAAGAAGAAAGCAAGCATTCATTTTTTTTATTGATTTTCCGGAAACTGATGTTTTAACCCAATATTATTAGCACGGGTTTAGTTTGCTATCAGTATCCTGTATTTTTTTTATAATCTTATCATCAGCTAGCATATTTTTAATTGTTAAAAGTTGAATATTTATTAAACCACAGTCCATTTTTTCCCCAAGGTTACGAAGATGTATGGAAGATTGAAAAAGGGAAAAGAAAAATTCATAACTATATAAACACATTTTTGGTATCTTTTATAGGAACAGCTTCATACCTCTGTATGATTTCCACAGGAACATGGAACCCTAAGGGTCCTGATCTTAGCAACTGTACTTCACACTGGGTAAACCAGCTGGCCCAGAAGGTGGGTTGTAATAATATATGATAGCATGCCTAATCTGAAAATTTTTAGATGAATTTTTAGTTCATCATAGGTGTTAGGAATAATGAAAATTGTATTTTTCTCAGGATAGACCTTGGAGTCTATCTGGGGGTTATCAGATCTAGGATGCAAAATTGTCACCAGCCATTAGATGGAAAGAAACAGCTAGGCCTTCTGAATTTCGGTTGTGATCCAATGCTTCTCTGGACTTCCTCAGAACAGATCTGATAGCAATAGGTCCACCCACAGTCATTCTTATTTTTATAACTGATGTATAAAGGTCATATTTAGTTGGACGTGAGTTTAATTGTTATGTCATGAGTCCCTGAAGAGACACAAAAGAATGCTCTTCATATGCCTAGCAAGAAAAAAGATGCACACGTCTTATTTATTATTATAATCTGCCATTTTTCTATTGCCCTAAGACGCTGAGCTTGTCGATCAGAAAAGTTGGCAGTTCAGCTATTCAAATCCCTAGCACTGTGTAACTAAGTAAGCTCCTGTTACTTGTCCCAGCTTCTGCCAACCTAGCAGTTCAAAAGCATGTAAAAATGCAAGTAGAAAAATAGGACCACTTTGGTGAGAAGATAACAGCATTCCGTGCTCCTTCAGCATTTAGTCATGCTGGCCACATGACCATGGAGACGTCTTTTCTTTTCAGCTTTGTAACGGAGATGAGCACCGCCCCCTAGAACCGGAAATGACTAGCACGTATGTGCGATAAGAATCTTTACCTTTAAGAGATGAGCAATACTTGAAGTATCAGGATCTACATTGCAGCCTTGCAATGTTCTAGAGGCTGAGGGAGAATATCTTGTAATAATATGTGATGACACCAGAAGAGATGGGGGAAATGTATTCTGATCTTTTAGAGTTCTTAGAAAGGCAGCGAGAAATCTCTGAGAATAAAAATCATTCTATCCCCAACCCTTAAGCTTCGTAAACCATTTCTATAATCCAAAACCATATCACTGAATGTTGACATTTTGCTATTGAGTTTTGGCACCTTGCCTGGAGATGATTGGTAGAAGTTGGGGGGAGTTATAGCCTGCATGCCAAGGTTTTCTCATGTCTGCCCTGTAAGCAGGCAGTCAATAAGGCCTTCTTGTCTACTGCTCAACAAGGCTTTTCTCCCCTATACCTAGCTTCTCAATAATGGTACTACTTGTTACCGCCACAGCATTTTTCTTCACTTCAAGTTAGTATAGTTTTCTTGTCTTTGTTTATATGAAGCTGGAGAATGTTTTTAGATATCAAAACACAGTAATTGAAGGATAATTGATTTTATTTGTTTCATAGTTTTTACATCCTATCTCAATCTTCAAATTCTGGCCACACAAGAAAATGAAAATAAATAAAATAAAAATATCTATACCAAGCCATGCACATACACATCTCTGGGGCTCTTCAAAACATTGCTCAAATCAAATATTTATTATGGTCACAGTCCAGCATACTAAAGCAATGTTACAAATGCTTCCACAAACCATCTTCCCTCATTGACCCAAACCCTTGGGTATCTTTCAGAAATATTCAATCCTACTTAAAAGACTTTTTTTAAAGACATTCAAATAGAAATATGTCTTATATGTTATTGGAGTGAATACTGTATTTTCCATACAAATTAGGCTGAAATGTGATAATCTAGATCAAGTCTGGGACTTGGAATATTTGCCTAGGGTTTGAAATCTCTTTTTTGAATTTTACTGAATAATGTCTATTTACCCACAAGAAATATCCTGTTTGATTATATTATTTTTGTCCCTATTAGTATTTATTTAGGTATTGTTTTAAATCATGACTTATGAAAGCATTTTGATTGTATTTGGGCTTAGGGCTATAATAAAATTAAAAGTTGAAGTTATAAGAGGTTTTTTTGTATGTATGTGTGCTCACAAAAACAACCAGTAAAACAAGAGATGCCTTAATAGATTCTTAATGGGAAGAATCTATATTTAGTAGTTTGTTTTCCATTTGGTTGCTTAAGTTAGTTTGCCTTTCAATTGTCATTTCAGATCAGAAGTGGAGAAAATGCTGCTAACCTTGCCAATGAATTGGCTAAACACACCAAAGGACCAATTTTTGCTGGTGATGTAAGTTCATCAGTCAGACTGATGGAACAGTTGGTAGACATCCTTGATGCTCAGCTGCAAGATCTGAAGCCCAATGAGAAGGACTCTGCAGGGCGGAGTTACAACAAGGTAGATAAAGACTGAATCAGATTTCTCAAGTGTATTCTAAAACATGTTTGTCTTGTGATTTGTTTGTTTCCAGAAATGCCCAATATCTGTTTGTTTTATTCTTGAAGTAGGGAAGGTTTAGGATTTTTAGGATTAGAATGAAAGCAACAAATCTAGATAGGTGTATGGATATTGAAGCTATAGCACATTTTCACAATTGTTTTGCTGTAAAGAGTAAGGAGAAAATTTGCCCCACTGGGCAGTTTCATTCATTTTAACTTTATAACATTGGGGTGGAGGAAAGTTGGGAAGAAGACATTTCTGTTTTGCTATAATCATTTGGTCTCGGTCCCTTCCTAATATGAATTAGGGTCTTATAAATACTTGAATAATTTAAAACCTCCCTTTCATTAGTCTTCCTAAAAAAACAACACATTGACTGAAAATAATTAAAACACTATGATTATTATATCAGCAAAAATATTTCTTAAATTTACACTTAAGTGGTCAACAATCATTAAATAGTAGCATTTCTACTGCACTTTTTTGTGTCTAACCTCTGATTTTTTCCCCCCTGATTTACTAACAAGCTCCAAAAGCGAGAGAAGACATGCAGGGCTTACCTTAAGGTATCTCTCCTGTCACCTTGCTTTCTCCCTGCTTCTACATTTCTGCTCCTGCTGCATGATCCTTTGTATTTCAGTATTTGGATAATGTGTATATTGTATCCCTCCACAGCCCCTGTGTAGAATGTTATGTTTGCACAGATTCCATTTCTGAGAGTAAGCCAATGATAGAATAAGCCAATAATCAATAGTTCATTTCCTTCCATAGTCTGTGTGAAAAATACAAGCATGGGAATGGGGATTAAACTAAATCCAAGATAGCAGTAGGTTTGTTTCTTGGTATTTTGCTTTGAACCCAGATGTTTTATATATGTAGTTCTGCATATCACACACTGTTTATTCATAGCAAGCAAAATCCACAGATGGATGCCACTTCACATACCCATTTGTTTCACTAGACCTTACGGAACAAGAATGTCACATCATTCCCACTTTGTCTTTTTGAACTAATACCTCCTCTTTTTATCTTTCTACTGTACTACTGAATTCAAAACGATAACTATTTGTGTGATTTTATACATGTTTTCCTGTAACAACTGCTGTTACTGGAAAATCATCCTGTTTTCTAGAGCAGTAAAATAATTCAGAACTTAAATACAGGTAGTTCTTGACTTGCAACCACAATTGGGAGCGGACATTCTACTGTTAAAGTTGTTATGTTAAGTCAAGAAGGACCTGATTTTGCAACCATTTTTACCATGGTCAATAGCAAATCATATGACTATTAAGTGAATCCTGCTTCCCCAATAGGCATTTTTTTTTGCCAGAAATTAGCAAAAAAAAAAAAAAAAGGTTACAAATCTTAATCATGTAACTGCAGAATGCTGCAGCCAGTCATAAATGCAAACTGTTTGTCAAGCACCTGAGTTGCAGTTGTGTAACTTGCACGTATAGGTCATAATTCACTTTTCTGAAGGCTGTCATAAGTTTGAACCATTGTAAAATGAATTATCGTAAATCCAGGACTACCTGTATCTGGCAATGAACATTCTTGTTCATGCCAGTAACTACACATCATACCTTTGACTGATAGTATTTTGAGGGTGGAAAAACAGCATGGCAGTTTTAATTATAGAATTTCCAATTAGTATTACAAGAAGAAATACAAGTTTAAATTGAATCTGCCTATAATAGAGCAAAGGCATTTTTTATGAAACTGTTAAGTTATTACAATCGTAACCCTCCAAATTGTTTAAGAATAATTATACTGTTCAAGATTAATTCACTTTCTGTCCCATTTCCACTGAATCTGTAAATCCTTTACTTTAAAAAGGGACAGCTGAACATTATTAGTATTACATCTCCAGCAGTGCTAACTTTGTTTAGACTTAGTCAGGTTAAATTGATGCAAGTTCCTGGGGATTAAAAAAAAGCAGGCCTGGATTAACGTAAATCTTAATTCACGTTAACCCAGGTTATAGGTAAGGTATAGATATGAATAGAAACACAATGGGAACCTAAGAAACATATGCATACAAGTCCTATTCCCAGCTGGCCTTCCCACCCAGTGCTGGAAGAAATACAGTTTTAGAGTTAAATTTGAAAGGAAATTAGTGCCTCTAATTTAAAGTACATTCTGATCATAAATAGAAATATAAGATATTCAATCTTAAACTAACAGAATGTGTGGGTATATTGGGAATGCAGCTTGCATGGACTTCCTTATTTTTCCACGTTTTAGCTATAACTGTGTATAATTACCGACATTAGGTATATCGGGCTATAATAGTTGATATTGTTAAAGCCAATAGTGATAGTTATATTCCAAAAGAGATGGCTAGATTAGAAGAGATCCATGAAATTTCTTAGTCATTGAAAAGCTACTTATTTGTAGGCCTAATTGATATCCCCCACCCCTTATTTTATATTCAATGTTGGTAAAGATTGAAACTTAACAACAGGAAAAAGTGAGCAAGTCAATTCTTAAGCAATTTATGACTCAACTTTCTTAATTATCTGGTCTAGTGGTTAAAGCATTGGCCTAGTAGTGGGAAGAAGTAGAATTTTAAATCTACCTTAGGCACAGGTGTCAGTTGGATGACAATTACTTTTTATCAGTCCTAAAGAGAAGACAGTGGCAAAACTTTCTTTAAAAAAAATGTTACCTGGAAAACTGCATGGACTTGTCCATGACTGACTAAAAAAAATAAGAAGAAGGAAGAGGAATGGGAAGCTAAGCAAAAAGTGAAGTTTACTTTAAAAGATAAATTTCATGGTCAAATCTTAAGTGTGACCATATTTGTAACTGCAGTGACTGTGGAATTGAGAGGCATTGATAATTCTCATTGATTTCTATGAACAAAATTAATCTCCCGCTTAACTCCTCAGAAATCAAAAGGATCTCAAAAATGCATAGGCTTTTAACAATTGTGATCTTAGGAATTATTCTGCCCCTTCTCCACACATATACACTCCCAGCTTCTGATAAGAGTTGTTACAGAGCTGACTATTTTCATACCACTGGAGAAAAATAGCAAAGCAGATAACATTAAAAATGAAGAATCATGCAAAAGGACTTAAAAACAGACATTACACATTAATTGACATATGTACCAATGAACCCTAAGTGCACCACAATCTCAATTTCTGACTCGGATGGTTTTAGTAGGTTGCAAGTTGATAAGATTTACAAAATCTCCCCAAATTACTAATCTGAAATCTAGCTAGTGCAAAGCAAATAAGGAAAGTTCTCATTCCTTGGCAGAGAATTCACTTGTAGTTCAGATCAAAGGCTGCAATTCATATTTCTTGGTGATTAATGAATCCAGCCTCCACAGACCAATTTCTGTTCTACGCTCTGCAATGGTTGAAGTGGTATCAGCATGTGCAGTTGACTCTTCTGCTTCTCATTAGAGAAAAGAAGAAGAAAATCCTTTCATATCAGTCAAAACTATCTTCCACCTGCCATTGGGGAGGCTCGCCATGCAACCATTAAGAGGATATTAAAATGGATTAGGCTAATTAATTTTACTCCAGACAATAGTCCATACTGCTTTCCCTATCCATTCAGACACAGAGCGCAAAGTTCTGGACCTGGCTTTGTTTTTGTTCATGTAGTGCAGCCTGCTCTCATTTTTGAAACTGATCAACCACATTATGTGTGCGCTTAATGATATATGTAACTAGGTAAATGAGACAAAATAAGTGTGATGGCTCAGCAGTGCAGAGCCTACTCAGCTGTGGGACTACATTAGCCATTACTTTAAGAGCTTCCCTTCAATTGTCTTGTCAGTGGATGTGATTTTACTTATTATTATTTTGCCATGGGAATATACAGGCCGCCATAAGATGCTTAGATCCTGGCTTAACCAACAGAAATCCACATTTACTGCAATTTCAGTCTGCTCTTCATAGGAGTTACAGACAAACTAAAAATCTCTAACCCTAACATATTTCCCATTACATGCAAACTGGGACTATAAACAGTGCTTTCCAAACAAGACAGATTTGAAGCCATTTCTAAATGATAGCCAAAGCTACTAGATAGTGATTAACTAGAATTCTAAAGAAACTGAGAGCGTATTATCCTCCTAGTATCATTCCGATTCTTGTTTGTTAAACCTTGATTTGATCATCAGAGTCCAATCAGTGTTTTTTCACTTTGGATCCTTTACCACACATTTAATTTTATATTATTGTATGGTTGCTTAGTTATTTGGTTGGGCAGTTAGTTTATATCATTATTGTAGCCACCTGAAGCTCTTTTTTTTTCTCAAGTTTTTCTTAAACAATAATCTTATGGAGTAGGTTAGATTAAATGAGGGTGATTGGCTTAAAATCAACCCAGTAAGGCTGAATTTACGCATGAATGTTCCCAGTCATAATCCAGCACCTTGGCTATATATCAGACTGACTGTCATATATTTCATACACATATGGCTACATTTATGAGATTAGGCCAAATATCTAACATTCTTCAGTTCCCAGTTACTTGAAAAACTCCTGCAGATTCATGCATGCCTCAAAGCCCCTTGAAATTTTGGATTGACATCTCACTTTCCAAATTAAAGCCAGGAGTATTTGCCTTTTTGCATTCTTCAGTATGTTAAGTTGTTTTTCATACTTGCTTTAAGGCATGTTGTGCTGACTCTTTGTTCTGAAGCAAAGCAGTAGCTTTTTTGTCTTTAAATCACTGTAAATCACATTGGCAGTTAAATATTGCAATTGCCATCTGATCGTATTAGAAACTTTCTCTTGCTGCCTAAGGCTATAGAGCCTAATATTTTTCTAATGAATGCAGGCAATCGTTGACACCGTGGACAACCTCCTTAGGGCTGAAGCTCTAGAATCTTGGAAAGATATGAATTCTTCTGAACAAGCTCATGCTGCAACAATGTTACTTGATACATTAGAAGAAGGAGCTTTTGTCTTGGCTGATAATCTTTTAGAACCAACAAGAGTCGCGATGCCTACAGATCACATTGGTAAGTCTTTGCATTTTAGAAAGCCAGGCATGTGCCATAAATTAAAGGAACAACACACTAAAATAATGGCTTGGGAATAGTCATATACAGTATATTATGTTGCTGGAAAATTATATTTGCTCAGGTAATAATTCTATTCCTATTTTTAAAAATAGGAAAAATTCTATCTATCTGTCTGTCTGTCTGTCTGTCTGTCTGTCTGTCTATCTGTCTATCTGTCTATCTATCTATGATATTTATATAGCCACCCAACTCATTCACATTATCTCTGAAGGACTTACAGGAATAAAACCACACATATAAAACCCAATACACCTCCACTCTCCTGGTGAACATTCAATCTAACTCCTGAATAGGCTCTACTAATGTACAGTCAACCATTGCACAAAAGCCTTCTTGACCACAAGTCCTTGAGCAGGACTCATAAGTCCAGTAGAAATGCCAGATTATGCACTGAGTCCATCTTGGGCTATGCAACCCTGTCCAAGACCAAAAATGGCAGGACTCCATGAATTAATGAGTTCCAACCCCAAAGTCATTCCATCTTGGCAGGGTTCAGTTTCAGCCCATTGCTCCCTATTAAAAGCCCAGTGTCCAGGCATTGCAAGATGGAGGTTGTGGCAATAGCAACAGCACTTATATATCACTTCACAGTACTTTACATTTTTCTCTAAGCAGTTTACAGTGTCAGAATATTACCCCAAACAGTCTGGATCCTCATTTTACCAACCTTGGAAAGATGGAAGGCTGAGTTAACCTTGAGCTGGTCAGGATCGAACAGCCAGCAGTCAGCAGAATTAGCCTGCACTACTGCATTCTAACCACTGCGCCACCACGGTGACAACATTTAATTCACCATGGGCTGAAATATATCACCCTATTGTAATGGATAACTTTATCCAGTGGCTTCATATTGATGTTAAACAGAAGCAAGGAAATTGCTGAACTTTGCAAAACCCCATAAAGCAGGGGCCAAGCACCAGACCTCTCCTCCCTGTCACCACTGTCTAGGAACGGTTGCAAGGGAAGGAAATCAACCAGATAATGTATGTTTTATAATAGCAGCTAAGCCAGACATTTTTAATTTTTTTCTTTACTGAAATCATATTTACAGAAATTTAAGCAAATCATTTTTATCTTAACCGTATCCTATTCTGTGAAGCATCAAGATAATAGTACTCATCTGTGATGTAGGTTTTTATAAGGGCTGATTAAAAATTGTGTTTGTGTATCTATGTGAGTAATTGAGATACCTGACCTGGAAATTCTGTTCTCATTATTTATTGCAATTTCATAGTGATTTTTATTCATTTTTGATGATAATACAAGCCAATTTTGACCACACAGTGTAAAGACTGTTTTTATTAAATGTAATTTCACCCAAGGTGAAAATAATTCAGTGAGCTGTGTCTCCAAAATACAAAATAGTCATGTTTCATAAACTGCAAAATAGTTACTGACATTTCAAGCACAATGTATAATTTAAATGCTGGGAAGAAGGAAAATACTTCTTTTTAGAGATGTACAAATATATTTTCCTATGTTTGTTCCATACTTAGATTTAAACAGCTTTCAGTATAAACTTAAATCCTTAACAATTCTTCCATTTTATAGATATTAAGAAATGTATTGAATGAAGCTCCAGGGACAAAATAATTAATTGCTAAAAAAAACTTGCTGCTAGGATTTATGAGTGAAATTATCTATGTTTCTGCTGGTAAAAATAAAAACAGTTTACAGAAACCTAGTATTGAATGAAGGAACTTAATACTGCATTCCTAAATATGGATCAAAGTTTTATTTCCTAAATTCAATAGCATGTGTTCTTAAGTCTGTTTTACCAACACATTATCTCAATACTGAATTCAGTGAATTTATGTAGACAGTTGTATCTCCTTCCATAATAAATGAATTCAACATAAAAATGGATATAAACACACACATAAATTGTTTGAATCTTAACAGGAAGTTGAGTGCATTTCATCATTAGTGATGCTTGGCACAATTATCATGGATGAGAATGAGATGCCCCAGTTTCTGTTCCAATTAGCTATTGCTAAACTAGTCAGGATGGTGATAAATTAGTTGATTCAGCAGGTGCATGTAGAAACCTGATCCAGCAGGAGACATGACTTCTATAATACCTTACTTACATAGCAATAACTTTTGTCCAGACTGGGAATCTGTACAAGAAAGTTTTTTTCTATGTGCTAATTTACCTTGCTTACTTGAGATGATAATGCAGTTATACCTTCCCTTCTTCAGTGTCCACAGGTTGTGGTGCTTTCATGGGTGGAGCTTATGTTGGCACAATGCTGCCCTTCATAATTTGCCTATCCTTGACATGCACATTCTCTCCTTCACTCTCAGCGGGATCCTTCTGCTTGCTTGCTTCCCATTTAATTAGTGAAAATACTAAGGTATTAAATTCAGAACATTACACTCTGTGTGAATGTGTGAAGCAAAGAAAGAGGTAATAAACCAGGCATAGTTCAATAAAATAGCCCTGCTAAATTTTTCACAAGTCTCTGTGGGGGACATTGGTTGACCTCAATTAATAACACATTTTGTGTGGGTGTAGAAATCTTTATAATAAATCGTACCATTATACTTGTCAGACTTTAAGTATATTCCTTTTAGTGTTTTTTTTTTTAAATTAAATGCTATCCTTCCTTTCTTTGAAGAAACTCAGAATAATATACATGGCTGTATATTACAACAATCTTGTGAAGCAGTTTAGACCATACTGGCTTGTCTGGTGCATGGAGTGAGAATTTTAACAGGGTGCTTCTTAATTTTGTCCAAGTTGTTTAATTACTATGCTACAATATCTACCTGTTACTAACACATTTATACGGCTGGTAGAATGCACATCATAAAAATCCATGCAAAACAATTGCATCAGTCTCATGGTTGCACATTTCTTCCAAGTAAAATACAGTACTCAGATTTTTAAAATGACACATTTTAGACTCACAGGTTGGGTGTCATGTCTTCTGAATCGTTCTTTTCATAGCATCTACATTCAAGTTAATTAAACTTTAAAGAAAAAATATTCCATGAAGCTGAAACAATTCATGTACATCTGTCATATATAAAAAAGACTGTCTAATGCACTCCCCCCACAAAAGAACCAGGCAAATTTGACTGGAGTTTTTTTCACTTGACAATGAGTTGGGCAGGATATTATTATTATTATTATTATTATTATTATTATTATTATTATTATTATTATTATTAATAATAATAATAATAATAATAATAATAATAATAATAATAATAATAATAATAATACCTGGTGACCGCAGAATAGACGATACACAACTTGAAAAAATCACCAGATATCAGGACTTGTGCCTAAAGACCTAGGCAAGCACTTAAAAACAATTGGTGCTGACAAAATCACCATTGGTCAGTTGCATAAGGCCACCTTACTGGGATCTGCTCGCATAATCCACTGATACATCACACAGTCCTAAACGCTTGTGAAGTGTTTGACTAGTGATTTGTGATACAAAACCCAGCATCATAATCATAATAATAATAATAATAATAATAATAATAATAATAATAATAATAATAATAATAATAATAATAATAATAATAATAATAATATCATCATCATCTTAATAAGGTACTTGATTGATATTTAGGATGCTGGCAGCAACCTGTATCCACCATTAGCATCAGTAAATGGTATTTGTGATGCATTTTTGAATGTTCAGTTGACTGAGTTTCATGTTTAATGAATGAAGTGTATAATAACAACTACTACTTTTTATTGTGTTCCACCCAGTCTTGGAAGTTGCAGTATTGAGCACAGAAGGCCAAGTGCAGGACTTAAAATTTCCTCAGGGCAATGCTGGCGGCAACTCCATCCAGCTTTCTTCGAATACTGTAAAGCAGAACAGCAGAAATGGTATGTCTTGATCAAATGAGTTATTTTCAACCCTGATAGGAGCCTTTAGCCCTTCTTGGATTAAAGCCCCCTTGACAGAATTAAAAAATGGCTCCTTTGTACCTTTTGACTGCCCTTTTTTCCTGGAATCCATGATTCCTCAATATTGTGGTTAGGAAGCTAAGGTGGGAACAGCTGTGGAACTGGGTGCACTTTCAAGTCAATATAATGGAATGTTTCTGTTTCCAGGATTAGCAAAGCTGGTGTTCATCATTTACAAAAGCTTGGGGCGGTTTCTTAGTACTGAAAATGCAACCATCAAGCTAGGAACTGAGTTTGCTGGTAGGAACAGTACCATCGCTGTGAACTCTGATGTCATTGCCGCCTCCATTAACAAAGAGTCCAGTCGTGTCTATTTGACCGATCCCGTTCTTTTCACCCTGGCACACATCGATGTAAGTTATGGAAATGAATTAATGGGAAAGTCATAAAGTCAGCAAGAGCCAAGATTGGATGGGGGGGTGGTGATCTTTCCATTTGAATTTTAAATATCGGAAGGTCAGAGGCATAGGTTTATTTAAGTCTGCGAACATAAAATTAAATGAGCCTGGTTCAGTGATTATTAGAACTTAAGTGTATTCTTAATGAAAGCTAATTCAGTAATCAACATGAAAATGTAAATGCCTCTAATTTGTTCCTAAGTGAAAATTAACTCTTACCTTAGCAGCAGGGCAGAAAACACGGGCTTTTACAATTTTGCTTGCTTAATGTAGCAAAATTTAAATAGCACTTAGAGCATTTTCCTCTAATTCTGTACTATCTTCTGGAGCCCATTTACCAATCACTCAAGTGGGTTTTATTCAATAGGGCAAACTTCTTTTCTTTGAATCAGGTTGACACTGTCTCAGCTGACTTTTAAAAGACTCTGCTGGTCATGACAAAATGCTGTTGATTGTGCAGGTTGGGCTTTTCCATTTACCTAAAGCGATAGATTGGAAAAGCCAATAAAAGGGGAAAAATTATCCCCTTTCATTTTTCTGAAATGTTTTCAGTGCAATTTAATCTGGGATGACATGTCTTTTCTGCTCTTTTACAACTGATTAAAATTGAGACTGCATTTCTAATTATCCAGGAAGTCTGTTTTAAATAAATCTACCTGTTCCTACTGCTAAAAGTTGGAAAACAAATAGCCACAAGTCATCAATAATAAGCACCAAACTACAAGTGGAGAATTTCAGTTTCAGGCAATTAAATTCTCAGTAATGCCTGTGTTACGGCATGCCTATAACTAAATTGCTACTTTGTCCTACAGTCTGTTAGTTAATTTTTTTATTATTTTATTTTGGCACAAACTATATACCTTTTCTCCTGTGTCAGCTTAATTTGCTACGGTACAAAAGGTTGTATTAGATTTAAATAAACTGTCTCTAGGAAGCATTTGTATGCATATAATTGTATTTTTTTCCATCCTGATGTCTTACAGCCCAACAATTATTTCAATGCTAATTGCTCCTTCTGGAACTATTCAGAGCGGACTATGATGGGATATTGGTCAACTCAAGGCTGCAAGCTGATTGACACAAATAAAACACATACCACGTGTGCATGTAGCCACCTAACTAATTTTGCAATTCTCATGGCCCATAGGGGAACTGTGGTAAGTAATCCTGACAAATAATGTACAACATTTTGAAGACCCAGTAAAACTCCTGATCAGTTGAACTACCTAGAGATAACTCATAATCTTACTTTACCGTATTCTGTGTCTTTTTTTTTTCAAAGTTCAGATATTACACATACACACGGGGGGGAGGGGGGAGTAGGAGAGAAAAAGAGTTGAATGTGGCCACAAGAAACAAATCTATGTTATAATTCCAATACATCTACAATAATCTACATTATTTATCAACAAATGGCATACCAATACCAACGAAGTATTCTATTCAGGGGCGGGATTCTATTGGTTCTGTCCAGTTCTATAGAACTGGTTGTTATGATTTTGTGCAGTTCGGAGAACCGGCAAATTGCACCACTGGCTGGCCCCGCCCATCTCCACCCACCCCTCCCCTCCGCACCCAGTCAGTCCTTATTGTGCATGCGCAGCATTGCCTGCAGCCTGCTTTTGCCACCCACCAGGCCAGCCATTGCTGCATGCCTTCCACTATGGCCCTGCCTGATCTCCCTGGGTGAGTGAGACTCTGCAAGCTCCAGGGCCCAGTCACCTACCTGCCACTGCTGGTCACCTTTCCCCCCACCCCACTTGTCTTTTGCGACCGCCACCTGCCACCCTAACCCCCAGCAGGTAAGACCTAGCAGCTGTAGTGAATCCAGGCAAGGGGCGAGATGCAGACTGGTGGGGACCCAGCTAAATTTTGCTGTACCGGAGAACATGTGTTCTCCTGCTGCTTGGAAAGCAAGAGAGTCTTTCCCGGCACAGCTCCAGGTGGTAGAGAGAAACAGGATTCAACTGGGCTGCTTCTCTGCCTCCTAGAGCTGCCCATTTTCCTATTGGAGGGGAACTTGCAAACTTTTCACTGAGCTGGGAAAGAGTCTCTTGCTTTTCCAGCAGCAGGAGAACACGAGCCTCTCCACATGTTCTCCGGTACAGCGAAATTTAGCTTGGATTCACCGCAGCTGCTGGGCCTTGCTGGTGGGGGATGGATATGGGAGTGGCTGACCAGGGAGCATGACAATTTTGCCACCCTCATGGCCCCTTTACCTGCCACCCCTTCCCTCCCACGCCCGCAGCCCCTTTGTTGGACCTGGAACAATCACCCCTGGTTGGCCCCACCATGCCTACCCGGTCACACCCGTGTCGGCAACAGGCGCCATCATTTTGAAGTTGAGGGAGAAGTTGGGGAAGGAGGTGGAGGGTCCTGCAGTGGCTGGCACAGGAGCACTGCTGAGAAGCAGGGAAGTGGCCTTCTAGTGGTCTGACCAAGTGTTCAGGCTGGCGGACCACAAGAAGTCAAAGCACCAAGGGAAAGGGGGGTTGCCATGGGGAGCCACCCTCTCCACACCGAATTGGGACCATTCGGGATAGACCTAGGAATTGGGCGAGCCAAGCTGCAGCTCCTTGCCTTCTTAGGTCAGGGAACTGCCGTTTCCTGCAGGAGGAGGACTGCAGAGGGGGGAGATCTACCTTAGCAACTCCTCCAGTGTCTTTACCGGATTATTTGGACACTAAAGGTGCTGCTGTCACACATCAGCCCAGGCCTCAGCCCGTGGGTCCATAAAGCCAACACCAAAGAAGTGGGTGTTCAGGTGAACCCACAGTGCAATGCTCTTTCAGATCAGCCGCTCCAGGCCGTCTGACCTCCAAACCCCTCAGACAAGCTGAGCCAGGAGCCACCACTTCCAGGCTTCTACTCGCCCATGCTTGGTCACCGCCTCTTCACCTTGCCCGAAGTGGCTGGCCCCTCACCCTCCCTCGCCTGGCCTGAGAAGGGCAATGGTGGGGAATAGCGAAGTGGCTGGGTCCCTATCTTCCCCTCCCCCCCTCTCTCTCTGTGTGTGTGTGTGTGTGTGTGTGTGTGTCTGCCTCAAAGCTGTGGCTGGGCCAAGCCAGCAAGCTCTCCTTGGTGCTCTTCACTACTACTTTCATTTCTTCTTTATGGAATCCACACTGGCTGAAAAACGATTGCCAGCCGCGGTGCAAGCATCCCTTCAGGAGAGGAAGGAAGGACACAAACCCTGGCTTCAGAAGACTTTGAAGCAGCACAGCAATCTAGGGCTGGCCTTCAAGGGATCTCAAAGGTCATCTAGTCCAACCCCCTCCTCCAGCAGGAGATCCTTACAGAATCATAGAATAGCAGGGTTAGAAGTGTGTGTGTATGTGGCTGTCAAAACTCCAAAAACAGGTCAAGTAGCTCTGGGGAGATCAGTTGTAAATTAGAACACTTGCTAAGCAACCCGCCATTAAGCAAGGACCACTTGTATGTGGTTTGCCAGACACCTGGCCATGCTGAGCCAGTCACCTGGCCACCAAGCCATGCCCAGCCAGTCACATGACCACCAAGCCACACCAACCCAAGCCACACCCACCCAGTCACATGACCAAGCCATACCCACAAATTAGGCCATGCCACAGAACTAGTTAAGAAATTTGAATCCCACCACTGATTCTATTCCATAAAGAATTTGTTTTATTTGGCACACAGTTCCTGCCTGTACAGAACCTTTTAACATTTAACCCAATGAAGACAGAAAAATAACAAGCAAGAACAAAACATAAATTATACCTTCCAAAATAATTATATTTTTAATAATTTCCTAAAAGCCAGCAGAGAAGTGGACAATCTGATCTTTTGCCATTGTAGTAGAGTATTAGGCCATTGTAGAGTATTAATGCCATCCCAGATAAGCAATGCTTTCTAGTTTCAGTCCTATTTATCTATCAGACTTGTGAGACTTAAAAGCAGTTGCTCCTTACTAGATCTAGTTCTGGTCTCCAACAGATATGGCCAAACAGCCCTATCCAATCAAGCTAATTGGCACAATAGCTATTCCTTTGTGACCCAAATTACTTTTAATTTATCAACACAGCCCTTTCCCTTCCACGACTTGCTTATGCTTGATCTAGTTCAGGGGTATCAAACTCATGATGACATGTCATGATGTGACATATCACATCTTTTTCCCAGTTCACTAAAAAAGGATAGGCGTGGCCAGCACATGACACATCCAGGCCACGAGTTTGACATCCTTGATCTAGTGGTTCAGGCTGATTCTGTTTCAAACTGGTGGTCCTGCAAATACTCAGACTTTTTGTGCCATGAAGTATAGAACCTTAACTTGCAGTTGCATATAGCGTAGGTCCTCCAGAATTGTTGATTTTTGCTTCCTGTTCCAGGAACCAGTAAGCTTACAATCCAATGTATTTCAAGTTGCCTTCAAGGGCAGCCTCAGATCAAACCCTGGATGGTAATCTGATGAGTTATTGTACCTCTTAGGAATGCAACTGGTGCACCAACCAAAGTTGGGCAAAGACCCCTAACCTTCACCGATTGGTTATTCCATAACCTCTACCTATTGTTCCAGAATGAGACATGAATCCAGAAAGACTCTAGATCCCAAACCTGCTCCTTCATGGATTAGTGGCTGTCTATCAAGAGATAGTTCTGTGCATTAACAGAGTACCCTGATGTACAAATGGCAACTTGGTTCAGCTTCAGTTTATTCTCTTTCATCCAAGCTATGATAACCTGCATGTCCCAGAATATGACACCAACAGCACATACAACCTGGGGTGGCAATGTGAAGTTATTGGCTTTATGTAAATGCTAAAGAACAAGAGAGAAAGAACTAATCTTCATGTTATCCCACATATCAGAGACCATCAGGCTGATTTTTCATCCCCTACCAAATACTACTGTGAAGATAACAATAAAATATAGCTCTTCTTTTACTGGTTAGGTTTGGATATTAATAAGCAACAATTTTGAAACCATCATTTATTGACTAAACTAATACTGAATGCATACCTATGCAACATTAAATCATGAACTATGCAAACCACCAGAGCTAGATTCACATCAATTATAAATTATAATGGCTTGTTATGATGTGATACGCAGATCTGGCCAGTAATATATTTTACTTAACTGGAATGTTTAAAAATACGTATTTTATTTAAGGGTAGTACATTTTACTAAAGAATTCCATTGTACTACACCCTCCCTTAGCATGATAAACAATGTTTTCTTTGTACACTCAACAATAATTTCCCAAAATGTGTCTTTTCAGTCTAATATTTATATTGTTTATTTTAGTATGACTGTTATCAGTTTTTTTTTCATAATGAGCACATTACAAGTTATTTTGTGGACAGACCAACAGATAAGTTGGGCTACCTCATTCTCTCTTTGTTGTCAGTGCAAACTTGCATTTCCAATGAAAAACAAACCTGTCTTTTTACCAGCTAAGCTGTTGCATAAAACAAAGTCACGAGTCCTTAGTGTTAGATGTGAATCAGGTATTTTACTTATCCATTAGTCAGTAATGACACTAATTTTTCTCCATCTTCATTACTTCCAGTACCCAAATGGAATGCATGGCTTACTCCTCACTGTCATCACCTGGGTAGGAATTGTTATCTCCCTTGTCTGCCTGGCAATTTGCATCTTTACTTTCTGTTTCTTCCGTGGCCTTCAAAGTGATCGGAACACAATTCACAAGAACCTTTGCATTAACCTCCTCATTGCCGAATTTATTTTCCTAATAGGCATCGATAAAACCGAATATAAGGTAAGCCTTCCAGACTTGTATACATGTGCAGGTCTTTGTTTTCTTTAAAAAAAAAATGATTTCTTTATTTTGTAACCTCAGTTTTCCCTCCAAACTGGATGATCAAGTAAACAACAATAGAAAATAAAACACGATCAGCAACAAGAAAACTGGTGAAATTAATTGGGTTTAGTATACATCCATAAATATTATAAACTTCTTAGGAACAAGTTTAGACAGAGATTTAAATTATTTTCTAAATTATTTTCATGGAGAAAAAAAGGGAGCCATCATTCTGCAGTAAAACAACCAGTTTTATTATTCTACTCCTTATATCTGATTCTCTAAATGAATAGCTTCCAGGATGCTTGAAACTGAATTAACTCATCTGAAGAGCACCAGAAGGCAGGAAGGGGCTGTCTAGATGTTCTCGTGCCAGAAAGATTAATTTCTTTAAAGGAGAATTATTTATTTTTAACCAGCGTTGTCCAGATTTAAGTCATGTTAAAACTATAGCTATTTTAATTAACAACACTCTGGCATGATGTGGGAGATAAAACGTACTGCAACAGAAACTGTTGACTTGAAAGGCCTTAGGCAGGCACATTATTCTGATTTAGGGTCATGCATATGTATTTCTTCAGAGACAGAGATTCTACATGCACAAATAGCAAGCATTGCAATAATAATTTATACTGGCATACAGCTCCCTTTGAAAGTTCCGTGGTCCTCAATGAACAATGAAGTTGAATCAAGCTGAATAAAGTAACATTTATAGGAATAAAATAGAAGCAGTACTGCTGATAGGAGTAAAACCACAGCAGTACTGTTAAAGACTTAAATCCCTATTAGGGATTTTGTAGTACAGGTAGTCCTCAACTTAAAACCATAATTGAGCCTGCAATTTAAGCCCTAAGTCACGCCAGTTATTAAGCATGTTGCCAGGTGACTGCACCCGATTTTATGGAGGTTTGTTTTTTTTTGCAGCAGTTGTTAAATGAATCACCATAGCCATTAAACACTGGTTGTTAAAAAAAATCCCGTTGTCTGCAATAGCCTTTTTTTCCACCAGAAACTGGAAATAAGTGGCATTGTAAATTGCTGTCATTGTAACTGTAGAACGGCTGTAAATGCCGGTTGCCAAGCATCCAAAATGATCATGTGACTGGGAGAGGCTGTCAGAACTTTGAATCCGAGTTCAAAGTTTTGAGTAAGTAGCCCTGGGGAAGTCTCCTAACTTTGCACAGTCACTAAATGACTGATCACAAGTCAAGGACCCTCTGTACAGAGTTGTATCTTCTTGGCATTGATATAGGTGCATTATAAATCTAAATGATGCAATAAGGCTAAAATTGTCCTGTTTATTTTTAAATTTTCTGAACCGCCCTTCTCCCTTAATGGGGGACTTCCCCCCCCCCCCAATATTTATTTTTTTTATTTATTTTTATAAAAAAAAAAAAAAAATAGAAGTAGGAAATTAAGGGAAGGAAAAGAAGTGGGGAAAACAACGAGGGACTTTTTATTATCTTCACTTTTCATGATGGAAGACCTCTAAATTTCAAGACCTGAGACAGAATTCCAACTTTTCTAAAATAGGCTTTTCTCCAGTTTAAGGATTTCGTTCTTAGCCTGAGTCTTCTGTCGAAAAGAAAAGAAAAATATTGAATACGAAAGGAAATGGAATTCCTTGCAATGGCGTATTCTTTTTTCTCTTTTTTCTTTTTTCAACAGGTTATAAATAATACATTTAGCCGCAGTGTTTCTTTATTATCTTTCTGTACCAAATCATTTGCAGTATAAGCCTTGCAGCAGACTGTTAAGATTTCTGTACCCAAAATTAATAGGCTGCTTTCCATACTTGATATTCCATTACACTGAATAATGTGAACAGGCACATATTTTCCATATCTTAACTTACAGAGTGCAACAAAGGACAGGGTACAGCTACCGAGAACACACAGATGTTTAACCATGCCGAATAGAAACGTCTTGCTTTGGAAAGGTTGTCTCAGACTAAGATTATGTATAGTACGCTCTTTCTAAAAACCGAGCACTGGGTTGGAACCACCCTGCTCTTATTTCTGTAAATGTCAGACTAAACAAGAAAGGTGGAAGAAGTAGTTTGCATTTGATTGTTTCTGTTTCTTTGCAGATTGCGTGCCCCATATTTGCAGGCCTCTTACATTTTTTCTTCCTGGCAGCCTTTGCCTGGATGTGCCTAGAAGGGGTACAACTGTATCTTATGCTAGTAGAAGTATTTGAAAGTGAATATTCCAGGAAGAAGTACTATTATGTTGCTGGCTATCTCTTTCCTGCAACTGTTGTTGGTGTTTCAGCAGCTATTGACTATACAAGCTATGGAGCAAAGAATGCGTAAGTATATGCTTAGCAACTAGTATTTTGGGTTATTTACCTGAGTGTGCTATCAGACAGAAAGTCAAGCCTGCTGAAATAAATGATGAATGAAACACAACAAGTAAAAGAATATCTGAAGACATTATTAATAGGGAATGGCAATGTGCTTCTATTTGAGTCTTTTATAATTTTTATTTATAGAAGATTTATACACTCCAGATTGTAAATAATGGCATTATTTTACTCTGTATCTACTTACATTAAAAGAAGCTGGGTAGAATTATTAGAGAAGAAAAGGAATATTTGTCTATGAAGATTCTCAGTCATCCAGGTCATGGTTGTCCCAAAGGTGCTTTTCAAGAGGCAACAAGACTTTCTGTTTTTTCTTTGAAGACGTTTTGCTTCTCATCCAAGAAGTTTCTTCAGCTCTGGCTGGATGGTGGGAAATGGAAGGATTTATATTCCTTGCAGAAGCTGGTCATTTGCATTTTTTTAGAGAGTCGTTGAGGCCACCTGGAGGTTTATCTGTTGCCTCTTGAAAAGCACCTTTGAGACAAAAGGAATATTTTTGTTTGAAGGGGGAGCTCCAAAGACAACAAATATTGTGAAATCGAATTTGGGTAAGTCACCGAGACAAGAGATTTACTCTTCTGAACTTTTGGACTCATGATGGCTCCCATTTTAAGGGAATTTTCCGTCTACTGGAATACGTGCTTTGGACTGTTCTGTGTATTGTGTAGCTGATGTTTGACTGGTGTTTTTTTGTGCTGCCAAGCCCTCAGTTCTTAAGTATTTGATAAGCTGGTGGTAAATCAACACTCCTGTTTACTGATAAGGGGGCTGTATCCAAGCTTCAATCATTTCCTTGGCTATCTTTGTACCTGCATGGCCAATGATCTTTGTCGTTGTGAAATTAAATGTGTGTCCTTGTTCATTGCAATGTGAGGCTACCAGTGAGTTATCAAAAACTTAGGAGCCGAGGGATTGGCAGCACAAGGACACGGCAATCAATCTCCAGCCATCAATATGCCAAACAGCCCAAAGCAGATATTCCATTAGAGACAAGATGGGTTCCAGCATGAATCTGAAAGCTTGAAAGAGTAAACTCTGGTCCAAGTGACCAACCCAAATTTCATCTCGCATCATTATTCTGGGACACATATATTTGCCTTCATTCACAGTAAATCCTGCTTACTTTTATTTATAATCCCAATAGAATTTACATGAAAGAATAAGTGGGGAATTTTGCTGAAATCAAATTATATTATTGCAAAATATAATGCCTTAGTTTTATTTATTTTTATCATTGTTCACTTGGTCATCTGGTAGGATATCTTCTGAACAATGATAACTGAGTATCAACATATATTTTTTATTTGGTTATATTTTATCAGGTATGTACAAACTTTATGTAATACTCTATTTTATAAACAGAAAGACAATTAGGCATTGTCTTTCTGTTTATAAAATAGAGTATTACAGAAAGTTATAAAAGGTAGACAGAATATATTACTGAGCATTTATATAACTGAAGGCATAAATATGCCTTCCAATAGTACTTACTTTGTCCATTGGTTAAATACTTGCAGCATGGTCAGATATTGTTTAATACAAGAAGTCTGCTTAATTTTGCTGTTGATGAAAGACAGACAAAAGTTATTCATTAGGGAGCTGCTTGAAATATATAAAAAGTGAATCATTAAATGAATTGAGTCCTCATAGCCAATGCTTAATTTAGTTTAATGCTATTTCTTTTTAATTGTTGAATATCAATTGGGAATGGTGGCTTTTTATTGGTAATGCACTTTTTTGCTGAAAAAGTAGGATGTCTAATTATTTTCTAAATTTCTGATAGGTATGTTTGTGATGATCAGATAATAAAGCTGAATTAAACTTAATTCCTTGTGGTTGAACGGACATATTCATATTGTTTTCATGGAAAAAGTGAAATGAGGGGATTTTTTGGCTTCCTAGTCAAACTTTGAATTTGAGGATTTTATAATAATTTCCCTTCCATGTTAGGTCTGACCTAGCTTGGTTTTTTTTTATCAGCCAAGTTTACTCGGATCTACTTCTTGCTATATAGTTAAACAATAAATTAAATAGTACTATAGCAAATTTTAAGGCATTGTGCAGCAGGGACATGGACCACATATGTGTCAGAAACACAAAAAATGGCCCATGTGAGAAAAAATTTGAAGAAGATGAACCTCATCTACCATGCTGTTTATTAACTTAATTTTTCAGCATTTTCTTTATTTTCCTGCTACAAACTCTCAACTTGATTTAATAGAACAAAAAGTAGAAAGGGACAGAGAGTGAGATGAAAATAAATCATGGTAAAGAAAGGATTTATGTATTGTGTGTTGAGGTTAGATAGATTCCCGGTCTCAAGTACATAAATAGAACTGTGGATAATAATGCAAACCTATTTTTTTTATTATGAGGCTGTGGTTTGTAAATAGTCCTTCAACAGGAAATGTCTAGTTTGGATAAATTTGAAAATAAAAGTTGATAATCAACACAAAAATAAGATGAATAACATAACAAGGTTGCATAAAATATATGTGTTTACCTATAGTTTTATGTTCAGATTTCCACACCAATAATGTTTTATGAACAAACACATAACTTTATTTCCACTAGAAGAGGGGGAGGAATGGGTGGATGGATGGATGGATGGATGGGATAGTGTATTGCAGATAGTATAGATTCTGTTTGTTCATTAATTATTTTCACTGATTTGGCCAGCCTCTCCAAAAGTCCAAATCTAACTTGTGAAAGAGGTATAAATTATTTATAAAAACAGATTTCAAATGGATGTTCACTTAATGCCATTGCTAAAAGAGGTCTCATAAACATGAAGTCAGTGAAAGTTAGTTTTTTTGCAGTTTTCATAATATTTTTTTTGTTCATGGACTGTTTTTGTTTTTTGTTTTCTCTTTTCTACAACAGTTGCTGGCTCAAGGTAGACAACTATTTTATCTGGAGTTTTATTGGTCCTGTTACCTTCATTATTCTGGTAAGAATATGGCCTCTTTCACTTAGTTTTTTCTTCCAGATTAATTTGATGAATTGTGCTTTTGGTTATTAGATCATAATATTTCTTTATAAAAATACTATTGCAAATTAACCAAAAATGGTTTGTCAGTTTTCAAGGGATATTGAAATGAATTAGGGCTCCATGCACATCTCTTGTATAAGGACAGTGGCATTGCTATATAAATTATAAATGTGAACATTAACCCTTGCATTGTCTGTATCACCTTTGGGTGATACCTTTTGGATTTCTAATATTTAGTGAACTATGAAGGTTATTCATCCACTTTCAGCACAGAAAACTGATGGGTGACTTTGGGCCTAGCATTGACTTTTAGCACAGTTAACATATGAGGCTTGTGGCATCTACCCACTACCATATGGAACCATTAAGATGGTTTAATTCATAAAATTTATCAATCCAGTTGGTTTCCAGAAGGCACTTGGAAAAATTTCCAGTGAATCAATGGACACATCTGGAATATGAAGACAGTAATAAACTTCTTAGGACCACTCTTAAGCAGCAGCTTCTTGGATATTGATCCAGGTAGGCTCCTTGTTTTACTGAATAGCAACAAGAGATAAACCACCTAAGAAGATTCCTGAATCAACACATGCAAACAATTAAAAGTATAGATAATATACTTATCTGTACTTATATAGATAATGTTTATGTTTATGAACTCAGATGAAATTCCAGCAAGATGGAACTAATGTTGGCAGACACATTTCCTAATTCCATGAGCTGAACTTTTCCTGAATGAACTGGCACAGAGTTCTCTCTGACTCTTTTTACAAGACAGGTGCAAACTAGCCAAAAAAAAATGTGAGCCTGGTTTGCTGGTTTCTAAGTTGCATCCTTTCCTGGACTAGCACATTAAAAGCAGCAAATGCCCTTTTTATATCTCAGTTAAACTACTGTAATTCACTTTACATGGGCTATCCTTAAGGAGAACTTGGAAGCTGCATGTGACATAGAATGCTAATACTGCTGTTCATTTGCTAGCCAGTTCAGCAGAATAATATTTATTTTGCAGGAACTGCACTGATTGCTAATAGAGTTCTTGGCCCTATTCAAGATGCTGTGATTACCTATAAAGTGTTTGCCACCTGAGTCTCCAGTTACCTTTGCAGCCAGATACCTTCTTATCTGGCTGTATGCCTTACATGGTATAACCAGAAGAGACTACAATAGATACTAGTTCTTGATAAATCAAGGGAACTAGGACCTGGAAAAATAACCTTATCTGTAATAACTTTTTACCGTGAAATAGCTTCTTCCACCTTTCTGATCTTTACGTAAATGGAAGAAAAGAATTATTTTCTGAAAAATCTTTGGAGAGAAGGATTTCTAATTGGAAGACAGTAGTAAATATATTTTAATTGTATAGATGTTATATGTTGTTTTAATTTGTGAAAATTGTAAACAGCCTTACATTTGAGGAGTTAACAGTATACAAATTACTTGAGCAATTAAATAATTAAATGTGGATAGTTAATTGAATTTATTTAGGTTATAATTCTAATATGACTACTTAGAAAAAAATAGTTGAACTCAGTGGCACTTATGTAAATAAAGTGCACATAGGAGTGTTTCTTATTCCTTTTATTTAAATTCTACTATCCTTTCAGGAGTTTACACCTTTTTTATGTGTGCATTCTAACTACTGTAGTCACCTGTTGGAGTCAGATCCCTTTAGCTTTAAGAGTTAGAATAACTTGTTACAAACAGTCTCTCATTTGCATTTAAAATTGAAATGTCTAATTCATTTCCAACATCTTTCTTTTGAGATGTTATCAAATATAATTATATCAACATCAACCTTTACATTCTTATTCAAAATTAACTTATCTAGTACTCTTTGTGTACCCTGATTCTATAAACGATTGTCTAAATTGCAAAATGTGTCATATCTCAGAAATAGCAATGACCGAACAGGACTTTAGTTCTTTATCTTCTAAAATAAAGCTTGCCAGCTTTGTAAGGATATACACACACACATATACACATTCAAAAATACAGTGATTACGACAATTTAAATAAATCAAAGTAATCATATTATCTACAACAACTGATGCAACTGAGAACAGTGGCTTGGACTTAAAAACAGGAAAAGAACTAATATAACATGTAATCCAAAAAGAAGGGAGATGGAATTTTTTTTGTTGGCTAAGAAGAAGGAATGCATACTTGGTGTTTGTCCAAATTCCCTCTTCCACTGCATTATGCCTTATATGGGTTAGAAAAGCCATTTGTCCATCATAATTAGCTTTTGAAAGGCACAATCTTAAAATGGGAAAGAGAGGTAGAGAAGGGCTGTTGAATTGACTAGTCCACTTCATGCTAATTTGGACCAAAGTGAGTGGTCTTAATTAATGAAGAACTATGAAATCAATTTATAGTAAGGTGAATAATAATTGATAATAGACTGAACCAACGTACTTTTCTTTCAACATTTAGGTAACAGGCAAATCTAGCAATGTCGGGAATTAGAATTATCTAGATTGCACAATATGGAAAGGCTATTTATCATCGACACATAGCATAGTATATAACAGTTGTACTTACAGCTGCTTTTACTTGTATAACAATACAGATGACATTTGTAACAAGGGTTGTTAGGGTTATCAGAAATAATTGCCTTGAATGGGTTCATGGCTATTATGGTATTATGGCAGGAGGACTATATTTAGTTTCATTGTTCCTTATAGAGTTCTTTTTGGTAATATATTTGATAACCTATAATGAAGAATAATTATCATTTTATTTAATTATCATTAAAAGGCTTTCTTACTTAAAAGAGAATCCCATCTCCAATTTCCATTCTTTGAATCCTCTCAAGTAGTATGCAATGTTAGAGAACTTGTTCTATGAAGTTTTCCATCTGTCTTCTTTAAAGTCATGACTGATGTGAGTATTAAAATACCCTGCACAATTCCTCATTTAATGTTAAAACATGTTGACCCAAAGAAGAAAAGCCTTCTTTATACTCACTCTCTTCCACCTCTTTTCTTCAATGTTCATAAAAAGGAATAAGAATTTGGCTGACTGACTTGACTTCACAATGAGCAAATTTAACAAAACCAGGGAAGTGTGGTATTAAGAATAGGGAGTAGTAAAAATGACACTTTCTCTGTATATACATATAATAATTAAAAATAGTATGATTAAAAAGAATTCAGCAAGTCCATTCCATCTCTTTCTCTACATGAAGGCATAAAGTATGCCTGTTTAAAACTATATTCACACATATGTTTGAGAATATGTGAATGTGTTTATGTATGATTTATAAAAATTGTTTATTGTTCTCACTTCTTTGTTCAGTTTGTTCTCCTTCTCTTTCTTTCTAAAACATTACATTGTGTCTGAGCCTTGGGCATTGCTGCAGATATTGCTGCTTGCTTTTAACCAGGTCAGACTAGAAATCAGGGTGATGGACATTTAATCGTATTGACCATGTACAGTTAGAGTCCACTATTATTTACCTGCCATGACATTATTATCCAGCAAATCATTTAGGCTGAGAAGTGGAAGGCCTTTGGGAACAGTATTCCCAACTTCAGAAAATATGAAACAGCAGGTAGCAATCACTGCAGAGTTCCTTGCAGTAATTCTTCTCTGGCAATTGCATTGCCCTCTAATCGTCCCCACCAAAAAAAAAAAAAAAAAGGAAGTGTAGTGATTCTGGAATAGTTGAATGTGAATATTATAGTCAAACAAGAGTCATAAGCATAAATGGACAATCAACATAGTTCAAGAATTTAAGATTACCATCATTATAAAAATACAGCCATGCTTGCATTATCACTTCAAAACCTGCTGTTAGCATTTAACCATTTATTTACTTTCATAAATATGCCATGTTTTTTTGAAAGCATTGGTTGGGAGAAATTTGGATTTGATGAAGAATATATTAAATATATTAAATATTTTTTAAAAACCCTCATCATTATAGAAAAGACAGCATCAATTTGTGTAGTTAAAGTACATGTTTATATATTTTAAGATGTACAAAGGTAGTGTAATATATGTAATTCAAGAAAAATACCTATTTAATGTGGTTCAAATAACTTTTTACCATAATCTAATGTTAATGGTATGTGAACATAGAGCATAGGTCAATACTCTATATTTGACCTTGATATATATATATATATATATATGGTGTTCGGCTTGGTTCGGGTATTTTCCCACGTCATTGTAGTTCTTTTAAAGTTGTAGCAACGTTTCAGCAGAATCTCATCTGCCATCATCAGGCTTCTGTATTGTGTCCGTCTGTGGGTCAGACTTTTACAGTGGTTTCAGATTTAAATTTGGGGCAGCCTATTGCTGTGCCAGAATGGTTTTTTCTTCATCCTGATTGGTTGGGAGTCTTGGTCTGTGCATCATGCCCGGCCACATACATTGGACAGACCAATAGAAGAATAAGTACCCGCCTGGATGAACACAAAAATGCAGTCAAAAAGCTGGAACACACTTCCTCACTAGTCCAACACATGGAAGCTACAGGTCATAGCATCAACTTCAATGGCACCAAAACCCTGGCCACTATGGAAAACCCTAGCCACAGAGTCATCAGAGAAGCCATAGAGATTGAAAAAAGACCAGAAAGCATGAACAGAAGAGATGATTCCACCAGGCTGTCAATCATTTGGAAGCCTGCACTCACAAACAAAAAAATCTCCACACCACAAGCCAGGCAAACACCTGGGCACAAACAGATCCCCCCTGATACCTCCAGCTCAAACACACCCCAACCAGGCACCCAGATGAAACCCAGCTTCCTAACTAATGATAGCCGTCCATTTACCCGAAGCCAAGCTGCACTAAAGACCTCCATTAAAGTAACACAATGCTGCCAGCCAATCAAGATACAAAAAGAGCCAAAAAACAGACAGAAGATATCAGAAACACCCATCAAGCAGAACACAGCAAACTCCGAGACCAATAAACACAGACCAAGACTCCCAACCAATCAGGAT